TCATAATCATTATCAGGCTACAGCTTAATGACGTTCATTCTCTCAGTTAGAGACACAGCCAGCAGTAGTAGTTTCATGACTTGCCTTCTTTCATCTCTTCACTTCATCCTGTGGGACTCATGACTCCATCTGTGGGAGTTTTGAACATATGGAGAGATATCAAATCTCTAGACTCTTCTCTGTGGCCTTTCAAAATTTTTGCAATCAATTTAAACCCTTTTCGGTATGGTTGTTTATTTTTTTTTTTTCTTGGCCTGTTGGAGCTTTCTTCTATTCACTTTCTCTGCCCAGTTGTGCCTCCCAATCTCTCCAGATTCTGTGAATTCCATGTTTCAGGGACACACTTTACCTGGTAAGGCCATATTTTGCTGTCAGCCAGCCAACCTGCTGTACTTATAGAAAAATGGGGGCCAAGAAGAAGAGTCCCTTTCTGGAAGGAGAGAGAAAGCATAGCACAGGCAGCACCCTTGGTGATGGGACTGCATGTCTGCCAAGAAAAGGGGTCCTCTCCTGTGTTTGCACCTAAAGACCCTTCAGGATGGGTCCCCCAACAGTCAACACATGCAGCAGTGGGAATAATCCACATTTCACAGTGCAGTCATGTAGGTAAGGCAAGGACCCATCATAATTCTGGTGAAACAAAAGTGTGGGTCTCACTTCAATAAAAAATTCTTTTTAAACTAAGATCATTCAAACATTTGCTATAGATTATTGAGCTCTCAGTAAGCATTTGGCATTTTGTTTCACCAAACTAAATGAAAAGAAACTAGGTCCAAGCCTTCAAAAATAGTTTGGCACTACATCCTCCTAAAATGAATGGCATCTGTTCCCCCAAACAACTTTTAAAATCCAACTGGACCCTTGAAGTCATAATTTTAGTTGTATTCACTTACCCCTCAGCTAAAGCTACTGTCAACTTCGGAATGTTTTACTTCTGAATACGGATTTAATCCAAATCGTTTAAAAGCTTTGAGACTGAGTTGGCTTTGAACATATGTAGATACATCAGACCAAATCCCATTCAGAAAGCATGGTATTGGAAATACAATAAAAATTATAATATTACCCCCTGTAAGGATAATCTTAGTTGTTTAAAGGTCAGTGCTTTAGTATGAAAACATCAATACTTCTGTGATAGAATAGGAAAGAAACTATGTAATGAAGTTGATAAAAGCAGGTCTTTGGTAATAAATCTGTTCTAATCTGGCAACAAGTTTGGGTTTTTTTTAACCCAGAGTAGCAACATGGGATTTACAGACCATTTTCAGTGCTCATTTGCACTGCACTTGGTAGGGGGAATCTTCCTTTTTGGAGGCTGAAAATACTTGGCCATCTTAATATGTTCAGCAGCTCATGTGGGGATAGAATACAAAAATTCTGTAAAATGGTTAAGGACACAGTTTACTGTTTGTAGATGGATATTTGTTTTGTCATATGTACTGCAAGAACAGGGAATAAAAAGGGTTTCCAGATCCAAGTTTCTGACCATGAGTTAAGAGTCTTGGATTCCACTTATGTATGGCTCTTTCCATAACTTACTGTGTGACACCAGTAAAATCATGTAGGAACCAATGAAGCAAAACACTTAAACATGGACTTAGCTTTAAACTCAAAGTCTTCCTGCTGAAAGCACAAGTTTTTGTGTACAGCCTTTTTTTAAGTATAGATGAAGTTTGCAAACAGATGGTAGCAGTATTTCCCTCTTTGACAAGTTTATTGTAAAGGCATACCAATTGGTGCTTGTGTAGTCTATGGCCATTTCCTCTGACAGAATGCATTATCATTTGTATCTGGATATAATTTATACCTGGAAATTACTTAGGGAAGGTTTAAAACAAGCCCAAAACACTTCTTCCTCTGAAACAAAGAGCAGAAGATTAAGTACCTGATTATGATACCTGTTTTCATCTGGCATCAGAACTTAAACTAAAGCATACATAAAACTTTGTCAAAACTACCTCATTCCCTCATCATAGATGAATTCACTCTCCCTTGTGTATTCTATCCCAGGACTAAAAATCTGCATTTAGCTGGAGTACTTACAACATGTTGTCAGAGGAAGCACTCAGGTGTCCCTCCCTCTGCCGACTAGCTCATTGAAAAAACTCAAAGTCTGAGTCACATGCTAATCTGAATTTACCTGTTTCAGTTTTGGAACCTCAATATAGTGAATTATGAGAATCAAATTCTACCATAGGAATAAAAAAAAAAGAAAAATCCTTCATGGCTTTTTGACAGCTTTTCTGTAAGAATGTTTGTCAGCATCAGGTGATATCCAGGACTGCAGGATAAAACCTGAAGGAACTTATCATGCTCATGCAACTAGATCTATTGCAACTAGTGGGGATGATTTTGTCAGAAGAGAAAAAAAAGGATCAGAATTTCACCCAGGAAAAGTCACAGAATTTGTCTTTTGGATCATGTCAAAACCACAAAGTTTCAATTTTATCAGAAAAGAAGTAAAAAAATATATATATAGCATATTCCACTTTATTGGGATTTCTTCTAATGTAGGAGAGTTCCAGTCTTCCCCAAAGTCAAGCTAAGTCAGAATGTCTGTGATAAAGTCCTAGGCAAAACCATGGAAGATTTGGTGGAGATCCATCAAATCACTGTTCTTTCTGAGACAGTGCTGTACCAGAATCCTGACATTCACCAGTGATTTTCAGTAATGTATGTTACCTTGTGAGATGTTTACATATCCAAAATGGAAAGTCCATAGGGCTGGTACAGAAGGAAAACAGTAGACAGAAAAAGGCAAAGGGAAGTGCATAAAGAGATGAGAAGTTAAGGACCTGTGCTCATGTCTGATGTGCTGATCTGAAGCAGTGAAAGGTGAAATAGTACAGAAAACCATCAGTAGTATGAGATCTAGTGGTACTTCAGTTGTGTTCCTATATGTTAGCAAATATGACTTCACAATCTCTCTAATTACCATTGTTCACTTATCCTTTGTAGTAAAAAATCAGGTAAATTGAGAAACGTGAATGTCATTCCAATGTTTGCATGTGTACATTGGCTCACTGTGCAAAGCAGAGTGTGTATTTGTTTCTTTGACACTTTCTATCAGGAATCTTGGAAAGAAGATGTTTACCTCTTCCAAGGTGGCCAGGGGAAAAAGTGAGCAAGTAAACATTTTCATGATTGTGGAAAGACTACAATCAAAACTGTCTTCTCAAAGGTCATCATCCTATATATAAACCACTCAGCTCGAAACAATATGCTATCGATCCTTCATTCCTATAACACTCACAGAGGTGGAAAGGTTTGTTTTGAGGCAGCTGGTTAAAAGCTGACACAAAATTTGTCTCTAATTTATTGTTACTTTATTGACTTAAAAATTTCTGTTGTAAAAAGGCTTTCCATATAAATGTACAAATAACTCATGAAACTATCTCAAAGATGGTTTCTTCTTGGTCTCTTAAACACTTTGCTGCATTCTCTTCTCCAGCTGTAATCTCAGACCAGCTTCCTGATGAGAATTATCCCAGTACAGTTTGATCTAGTGAAAAACACACCACACAGCTACATATATAGATATAAAGACTAAGTCTT